TGCTAATTGAGAAGGTGGGTGTACATATGCATTTACACAAGTACGGTATGTGTGCTTGAGGGAAACAGCGTAGCTTACCTTACCTTTTTTTAAACCTACAATGTCAAAACCTGAAGCATTGTTGCTCAATTACAAATTATAAATCTGAGCACTCATTCTTGTTTTATAACTACTTAATGGTGATTATGGTGAAGCAATGTTCAGTTCTTTACAATGTCCAGGCTGAGTTGCTTTTGAATGTGCTTGCAGAATTTTTGATGCGCTCATCTTTTTCTGTAGTCAAAGCAGGAGAAGCTGGCCTGCAGGGACAAGAGCATGCAGGACCGTCTCCGTCTGGGTCATTTCACTACTGTACGCCACGGAGCCTCCTTCACTGAGCAGTGGACAGATGGCTACGCCTTCCAGAACCTCATCAAGTCAGCAAGCGAATACACAAACATATGTTTACATTTTGTCTATTCTACATACAAGAATGTTCACACTAGATTGTTCTTACATGTTCCAGGCAGCAAGAGAGAATCAACTCACAGCGGGAGGATATCGAGAGGCAGAGGAAGCTGCTGGGGAAGAGGAAACCTCCCTCCATGGCCCAGACACCCCCACCCAGCCTGGAACAGAACAAACGAAAGAGCAGGAGCAACGGCCAGGAGAATGAAACGTAAGATAACAAACAATAGGTCAATTACAGTACACAGTAGATGTATTACATGGACCAGCCCAAAGTTCACACTAAAGCAGGAATTAATTGTTGTGGTGTGGCTTGAATATAACATTGTGTTCTGGTCTAGAAGGCAGTGCTGCAGGTTTTATGGGGTCCTGGCTGGCTGCTGTAGGCGGAGGATGCCTTTTTCGTCTCTCAAGCTGACTGTTTGCTACTTTATCCCACACAGGTTGTCACTGGCAGAATATCATGAGCAAGAAGAGATTTTCAAACTTCGAATTGGTCATTTAAAAAAGGTACCATCTCAACACTTATGGCAGCTTTTCCTTCCATTGTTTTTGAGACCCCTGTCTACCAAAGAATGAGGTAGATAACAGATTTGTGTGTTTGTATGCAGGAAGAGGCAGAGATCCAGGCAGAGCTGGAGCATTTGGAGCGAGTAAGAAACCTGCACATTCGGGAGCTAAAGAGAATCCATAACGAGGACAATTCACAGTACGTATCATCTCTGCTTAACATGCCTTACACTCCTGTAGTGTGCCTTTTGACCTCATCAAACTTTTTTAAAAAGTCAAGTGATTGAAACATGTTGTCTCAACTTGTAGATTTAAAGACCACCCCACGCTGAACGACAGATATCTGCTGTTACATTTGCTTGGAAGAGGAGGCTTTAGTGAAGTATTCAAGGTAAGCATGTAATATTGAGTTGGCTTACATTTTTTACAAGTACTGGTATATAAGCTGGGTCTTTTTGAATAACATAAAGCAAGGTATCTTCAGGCGTCACGGTGGTATTGTAGTGAGACTTGTTTATTCAGTAAACAATTACTGTACACAGTTAGGTGTAACTCTCCGGTTATAGTAGGCTTCTCCAACTTGCTCATGTTGATGTGCAATGTTCCTTTTCCAGGCTTTTGATTTGACAGAGCAAAGGTATGTGGCCATTAAAATCCATCAACTCAACAAGAACTGGAGGGAAGAGAAGAAGGAAAACTACCACAAGTGAGTATGAATGTCTGTTCACTGCTGTCTGTTCTCTTTCTTTGCATTGTTGGACATTTTTTGATCTGTAAATACATTTTACACTGTGGAACTTAAAGCTTAAGACTGTCTTTGACTGTTCTTGTGTGATGTATTTTAAAAGTAACTGAAAGTTCACCCTGAATTATGAATTCACTTGTCTTTTCAGACACGCCTGCAGAGAGTACAGAATCCACAAAGAACTCGACCATCCTAGAATAGTCAAACTCTACGACTATTTCTCGCTCGACACGGACTCGTAAGTGACTCTACATTCATAAACATAAATAAACATTTTAGAAGTGTTTTTGTTTCCTGTTTTTCTCCCTATTCATATTCCTCCTATCCCTCTACTGACACTGCAGCTTACATAGCACATTAAAACCTCTCTAGATGTGTGTGGATGTACGGGGGTGATCTATATTGACATCTTACCAAATAGTCCATCTGTTGTGTTATCTCTCACAGGTTCTGCACAGTGTTGGAGTACTGTGAAGGCAACGATCTGGACTTCTACTTGAAGCAAAATAAGCTGATGACCGAGAAGGAGGGCCGCTCTATTGTCATGCAGATTGTCAACGCCCTCAAGTACCTCAACCAGATTCGGCCACCCATCATCCACTACGACCTCAAGCCTGGTAGACTCGTGGAGTTTTAGCTTGTCATTTTCTCCATCCTTCAGACAATAGTGAAAAACAATCAGTTAAAATTGACTTTTGTACAATTTCCTCCAGTGATCTGTCAAGAAAGTTAACACCACAAGAATGTGATGTAGATTTTGATTCAAATAAATATGTTCATCTGTGTGTATATGTAACACTCACATGTTTGTGACAGCTCATTTTGATTGAGTGTTAATGGTGTGTTCATAGGAAACATCCTGCTGGTGAACGGCACAGCTTGCGGAGAGATTAAGATCACAGACTTTGGCCTGTCCAAGATCATGGATGATGACAGCTACAACTCTGCAGATGGCATGGAGCTGACCTCACAAGGAGCAGGGACCTACTGGTACATACACACATTTCGCTGCGTGTAGTAACCAAGCAACCAGTATAGCTTCCCAAGTGGGTGGAAGTGGCACAGTCTTTTGAGGGAAATGTTGCTAACTGAATCCACATCCCCTTCTTCATTCAGAAAGTCGTGCAAAGGGCACAGTGCTGAGAGAACATGCAGAGGAAAACCTAGTTCAGTCTCATGTTGTCATTGTGTGGTTTACAGGTACCTCCCTCCTGAATGCTTCGTGGTGGGCAAGGAGCCCCCAAAAATATCCAATAAGGTGGATGTTTGGTCAGTAGGGGTCATCTTCTACCAGAGCTTATATGGACGCAAGGTAACCACCAACCTGCCTTCTCTAGCAGGGATTTTGTTGGGAGATGTTTCTCTTTAATTGGTGTGATTAAAATAAAGGTGAACTGTCTGCTAACCGTCTCCCTGTTGGTCTTTTTCCAGCCGTTTGGTCACAACCAGTCGCAGCAGGATATCCTCCAAGAAAACACCATACTAAAAGCCACTGAGGTGCAGTTTCCCCCCAAACCTGTGGTCACCACAGAAGCAAAGGTGCGGTACCCATTACTCTTAAACAGCTATCAACTCACTGCACTGTTCCCATCAAACTTTTTACATTTACCTATATATTTATATAGTATATATATAGTATCACTTAATTAGTTTCTTACTGAGTTGTAAAGGAAATTACATTTTTACTCTTGAATGTGATTTAAATTCCTGCTCAAACCCTTTTGATTTTTGACAGGTGGGATATTTCAAGAGGCTGCTTGATTTGATAGAAGGGCCAGGACTAGATCACCATTATTGCATTACTGTTTTCCAGAATAGTCCATTTTATTGGGTCTTTAAGCATGCAGTTTGCCAAAGGCTGTTTACATTGATAGCCTTTGGAAGGGACCATCACTGTTTGTAATGAGCAAGGCATAAAATTAAAGCGAAATCTAACAAATGTGGAAAAACAGACAGAACAGCAAGTAGCCTAAGAAAGAAAACACTGGAAGTAGGTTCAGAAACAAGGAGTCAGCTTTTCTTTTTTTTCCTCTTTACCATCATAGGCTTTCATTCGACGTTGCCTGGCTTATCACAAGGAGGATCGTGTGGATGTGCTGCAGTTGGCCAGTGACCCCTTCCTAATGCCTCACATTCGAAGAGCCCTGGGCAGCAGCACACCTCTGGCACCTCCTATTCCCTCCACCTCCAGCTGCTACAGCAGCAGTGCCTCCGATTGAAATGAGTTGAAAGAAGCTGGAATAAAACCCCAGTCACGACAAAGCCACACGGAGACATTACACACTTGATGAAACTCCTCCTTTGCTCTCTTGATTGCGAGAGAGCAGAGAGCATGATGGGATGGAGGGATCCTAAAAGTGTGAATGGAACCAAAATGATGGATGATGTGGTGATGTAGTAGTAAATGTGCCCACCACCATCGTCCAAGTGGTAAACATGAATGGCCAGTCTCTGGCTGTGGGCTCAATAGAACCCAAAGATTTGCCCATATGCATGCACTAACACAAAGACTTTGACACACTTCAAGGGGCTTTTTTACATGGTAAATAGTAAAAGCACCCAAAAAATTGCACAAATGACAGGCTGAGAAGTATGCCATGTGTGGAAGATCACCTGCCTGTACTCTGGATGGTTTAGAAGACGCATTAATGAAATTTCATCCCATTCTGCTTGAAATGCATCATCTAAACTACATCTAAACTATTTTTCAGAACTAGAGGTCAATTTTAAACATGTGTCCCTACAGGTTTGAACCTGGGACTTTTTAGGAAGGGCTCCGACGAGTGATGAGGAATGACTGATGACCAAAGTTTAAGGCCTGCCTTGTTGACGTGGCACTGTCAGAGGTTCATAAATGACTTGATGATACAGCAGAGGGCTGATTCTGGAAAGAGTACCTGGTTTTGACCTATTTTAAATATTTTACTTGATAACTGGAAGTCAGCTTATTATTTTAATTGTCCATATTTTTCCATGAAATTTACCCCTTATGTTTTTGTTAACCTTAAAGGGGGGCTGACTATGAGTGAGTGTTGTGATGAGAGGTAAGATTCAACAGAAATAATTATGAAATCATTAAAAAACATTTGGTTAACTCTGTGGTGTTTTGCTTGATTTTGGTAACTCATTGGGCAGATTCTACAGATGTATTGTAAATCATACAAATATACTTAGAGATGCACAGATGTTTTAATACTTAATTTATTAATTCATGCTGTTGTCAGTGCTTTACCACGATGCAATTATCAATGAATGTGTCATACATTTAATCTCTAAAAGAAAAAATCTCCACCCAAAATGTTTTTTCACAGCATAAAATGTTTATTAACTCAAGTCCCACCATTAAAAGTATCCATCATAACTAAAACAGACAAATCCATGTGATGGTGGAGAGTATGAACAGAGTAGCTGTATCAGTGCACCTCTAAATACAGGTTTGCCTGCCAAGTACGTATAACTGGAAAACGTAACCACATTCAAGGTTAAAGAAATACTGACATACTCCTGTTGAATACTAAACAGTGTTAATCTAAAAATCCTTCCTTGACCATAATCATCCAATCATAGTCTTACATAACTGGGACAAAAACTTTTTTTCTCATTTTGGAAAAAGCTACAAAGTGAATTCAAAGGTGTGCAGTACAACATGAGACCAAAGACACCCTTAACTGAACAATGTGGTGAGAATTGAATATGGGGAAGATTTATTTCTACAGTACATTCTAATCCGAGGAAGTGTGAAATTTTATATAGATTCAAATGATCTCTTTGTAACATGCAAAAACAGACAATCTGGACTGAAGCTTTAGACATTCCTCTGTGCCCTTTTCCACTCAAAATCCCAAAAGATGAACAAAGTGGTGCAGACGTAACCATTTCCTTTCCTTTGGCCAAATCTCCAAGTAAGATTCACAAGTAATCCATTTATCAGAGGGGCATACAGATATGCAAAACCCAATAAACCAAGGCATTGTCCCGCAGGTTTATCTGTTGTAGAACTGCGAGGTGACCCATGCCAGTCCCCACTTCAGGTTGGTGAGCATAAACTTGAGCGCCTTGGTCCACTGCTCCTCAGAGTTAAACTGGGTTTTGATGGAGTAGGAGCCACCACTGCCTCCTGTGTCCTCGATCTTGCCTTTCTCCACATCCATCCTGGGACATGGAATAAAACATCAGTTTTAGTCATCTCATAATGCCCGATGGATGTACTGGTATCAATATTATAATCTGACATTAAATGGATCGAGGGGACTTAGGCGTGAATGCTAAAGCAATTCTCCAACTTGTGGTTACACCCTTATTTCTGTATTACACAGATATTGGACTCTAAGCAATATAACCCTGGGAATGGGAAGTCAGGATTTCAGCTTTAATGAAAATCTATTCAGACATTTATAGGGTTAAAAAAAAAAAAAAAAAAAAAAGTAGCTGCACAAAACACATAAACACAGTTTGTCCTGAGGGTACCAATATAGGAGATATAAGTTCATTAAAACTGAAAGGGTGCATTTCCCCTTGAGGCATGAATGTACTCATTTACCTAATAGATTATAAAATACCTCTTGTGCAAAGATGACATTTAGGCCTGGAAGTAGAGCAAGCGGAAAGTTCAGGGTCCAAAAATTGAAAAGGTACGTGAATATGTTGTGAATGTGCAACATTTGTTGTGTGAAAATTTTGACTAGAAGGTGGCGCTGGAAGATTGGACAGGAATCCTCCTGTTGGAAAGCTGGATATTCACGTCACAATGGTGTTGACATACAGAATATGATGCTGTGATATTTCACCCAAGTGCAGCCAGCAGTACGGGTGATGCACCGGTACAGAGTAAATGAAGTGTAGAGCAGGGCTGGGATGTCAGATGTGGCTGTTGAAGGCACTGTGAGCTTTACAAAGCCAGTTAGACAAGTTAGGTGTAAATGTTGTACTGTAGGACATGCTTTAATCATTTAAAGGGTTATAGAGCCCAAGTTTTCCCAACTGCTGATTATTTGCTTCAGTGGTATAATGATATCAGACAATTCTTCAGCCCCTCTAAAATAACTTGAGACAGTTGTTTTAGAATCTGCATTATACTTGAATATTTACAGCTTCATTTTAAATGACTTGTTAATGAACACAAGGAAAAAGTAGTGTATGCAGCTATCTGACCTGTACGGGAGGCAGAAACCAGTGTCTCCTTTTTCCACCTCCTCTTTGAATTGCTGGACACAGTCCAGGAAGGCCACCATGGCGTGGTCAAATTTATTATCCCAGAAGAACCTCAGGCCACCTGAGCAGTACAGAGGAAGTTCCTGGACAAACACAAGATAGAAAGAAAGGACCGGTTAAGAGCCTGGAGGAGTGTTTAAATAATGATGGGAGAGCTGGGCTTGGGACACTGCATGTATTACCTTGGACTTGTCTGTCAGTGACTCTAAGTATGAGTGATTTCCATATGGGACAAGACGATACCTGAAGAGAGATGAGTGGAGATGAGCTTAATTTTACATTGCATAGTAGCAAAACATAAAAAGTAAAGCACCAAATAATTGAATCTAAATAAAAGAAACAAAAAAAAAAACTAAAGATTATTATGCTATAATTATTGCTAATATTTTATGGAAAACACGGTTAAGTGTAAATACACTGTTGACAACATTCAACTGAAAAAACTAACTGAAATGTGTATGTGTTTGTGTTTGTGTTTACCTCTGGAAACGCAGCCCCATTTTGTTGGCCAGAGCATGCAGCAGCAGCACTGTTTGCCCCCAGGCTGCATTAATCTCATTCCACTCCACAGGTACACTGGGCAGTCGACCCAAGCGGAAGTTGTTGATGGTACCAAACTGACCACTGTGCCTGGACAAGAAAAGAAAAACAATTTTGATTCCCAGTCGATAGGTATTGATTTATTTTTTGTCCTGGGGCCTATGGTGAATGTTTGTGAAGTCACGGTTGATTGATGGAGGGAAAAAATAATTATTTCTTCTCAATGTGCCCAACAGTATCGTGTGTGTGTGTGTGTGTGTGTGTTTACCAGATGTGAAATGTGGCATTGAAGACGTTGGTCTTTTTCAGCCGATCTAGCTGAATCTGGCAGTAACGCATCTGGTTGTCGACACTCTTCAGCTCATCATCCAGCTCCAGCTGCTGCCGTTTAAACTCGCTGTACTCCTTCTGGTACCTTACAACACAAGGCAGCGGAAAGAGTAACAGCTGTTATGTGCTGTATCGTCTACCATATTCCACTCACAGCCTTTGACACCACTGCAAGGCCACTCACTGTAGCTCCTCTGTGTCCAGCTGCTGAGAGTGGATCCTGCTCTGGGCCAGGTCCTGTGCTACACCGGCCCTCTGCTCCTCCACTGCCTCCAGTTCCTGGACCAGCGCCTCCTCCTCCTCCTTCAGCTGCTGTAGTTCTGCCAGAAGGGTTTCCTCTTCCTCCACCTGCAGGTGTGACAGCAGCTCCAGACACTGCCTGAAAATACAGTCACATACAGTGTATTTTACTACACACACAGTAAACTGCACATGAACACACATGTGGATTCAGCATTTTAAGTTGTTTTAAGTACTTTGACTGAAAACTGAGACATTTAACTTATTGTACACCAACTAACTTGTAATTCTGGCATTCGTTCTCTGTGATGTTGAGCTGTGTGTCCAGGTGGTCCAACAAAGTGTCAGTACATTCTTCACACAGTGGATGGTCCACATCTGTCTGGCCTGACATGATGTCAAACAGATCACTGGTGACCTGAGTGAAATATGATCCAACACAACATAGTCACTTTTTAAATTCAGTCATAGATCCGTAGCATAAGCTGACCCTAACAAGCTGTTTTGTCAAAGCTGTTTCTTGCCAAACTAACGTGATCATAGTAAACCGACATCATGGAATCTAAAATCTTTCAGCTGTGTCAAAGCGGACTTTACCTTCAGCCTACGACTAAGATTTTCCATCGTGCCTCCATCAGATGCTTCTCCAATCAGTGTGAAGCTGTTGGCACTCTCTGTGGACATCATCCTGTAAAACAAGATTCATCAGTTCAGTCAAATGTATAGGATATGCTGCATTTTCAAGCCCATCCACACCTCATTTGACAGAGGAACATACCAACTACAAGATAGTCAACAGATATAAATTGTCATCTGTTTTCAGTTCCATTTCCTGAATTAAAAGACTTGGGTTCTCACCGTGCAGGAGGGATGTATTTTCTCGACACTCCATCTTGCTTGTTCTCTACAAAGGTCTCCTAGAAGGGAAATGTAATTCTGAGACCTCAAATATACCCGCTAACAAAATATTTACAGACTGAATTGATATAATTAATTGTTTTAGTCTTACATCTTCTAAAAGTCTTACAGATTAGTTTACTCAAAACATACAATATATGTATCAAAAGTATCAGTTACCCTGATGCCACTGTTTTATCAGTCTAGGATCTTGGGGAAAACACAACAGCCTATGTGAATTCCAGTAATTTGCTGTTATATTCAGTGTGTTCTCATACCATGTGTATCCTGGCATGACAGCATCAAAGATTGTTGACACTTTAGAGTCTAAATTCTTATCCATCGCGCAGTACCATCAGGGAGGTGTCTGATCAGTGCCAAATTCATTCTACAGCGGGACAACAACCCCAAATATACAGCCAGTGTCATAAAGAACTATTTTCAGTGACAAAAAGACTAAGGAGTCCTGCAACATATGGTCTGATTGCAGCATCACTGAGTCATTCTGGGATTATGTGAAAGGACAGAAGATACCAAGACAGTTTAAATCCACAAGTGTGGCGAATTCTCCAGCAACCAACCTGCCAAGCACCTGAAAAACTGTGTGTACTGAGGACAACTAGGCAGTTTAGTTGATCCTGTTTACTGCACTTTGTATGAAGTGAATTGCTAAAAAGAACTATTCATGGCATTGTTTTTGATTGTTGATTGTTTTGATTTTACATCTTAAAACCTTTGCACAGTACCGTATGTTTTCTGCTGTTTCTTACCTCTGGTGCTGTCTCCCCCTCACTACTGTCAGCCTGTTTGCTGGGGGTCACTGTGACCAACGGAGCTGAGGAGGAGGAGAAGGGTCACAGAGGAGTAATTTCATAACAGATCGAGCAGTTTTGACATCATTACACTATATTTTACAGCACTGATGGTTGATTGCCAAGTATACACATACCAATGAGCTCGTGGATAGTGACCCGATCGAGCACATTAAAGGACGTGTCCAGTTTCAGGGGTTGACAGCACCGCTGACACACGAAGCTGACCTGCATGGTTGTGCTCGACGACTTGGAGCCCTCCATTGCTAGCTACAAGAACACATGTAAAGAAATAAAAGCACAAGTAAAGCCTGACAGCCTTTTCGCCAAGTATTCTTTTTCTACATGGTGGCTCGATGGCTAGTTAGCTGTTAGGCAGCTGGCTAGCTAAGGTTAGCGTTGTAGCTAGCTCATACGTAACATACACCCACGGTGTGTAAGCATAAGACAGACTTACTCTCGCTTGTGAAAAACCAAAGCTATTGCATTACAGTCCTGATTTGAGAACGTCGAAAATGAGAAATCACCCCTAATGTAGTTAGAGTGACTGTCGCATTTTGCACCTCGGGCATTTCCCTCTCCACTTCCTTATTGTTGTTTACGTTTACGTTTGACGTCAGGTTTAAATCAAATCACGTGGAAGAACCGGGCGTCCACAGTGGGGTCTTACCCATGGGCTCAAACTACTGTTACTCCTCATTCTGTGACTTGAACACCATGATATTGCTTATGATATAAGTAGTAATGCAGTATGATCCCAGTATATATTTAACTTTATACTTAAAGTCAGAAGGCTGTTATGAAAAAGCATATTTGTCAGAAAGTGCGCTGCCGGACCAGTAGGTGGCGCTGTAACATCATCTGCCAAACGCCGTTAATCAAAAGCAGAAGAAGACTCCAGTTGCGGGAAAACTGAAGCTGATGAGTCCTGTGTTGATAACTTCAAACTTCCAGAAAACAAGGTAATTTAGGGAATATTTATTTCTTACAATCAGCCAGTGGCGTTTCAAAAACTACGAGCTACTCTTTGTATTCACACATTGGTCTTTTGGTGTATTCGCGTCCACTGTCTCAGTCTCAGAAGTAAAGCAGTGTTGCTAACTAGTTGTGTTACCTTCCAAATAAAAGCATGGCAGCCAACCAGCCTGACGTTTACCTTCAACTAATGCCACTTTAATCTAGTGGACACTGTATATGAACATTAAACGGTATCTTATAACGTTACAATATGGATTTTTCTGCCTAATCTCACTGGAGTGTTGTGCTTCATCACTTTCTGCTGCTTGTAACGCTATGCGGCTTTAATACTATTCTCACTTGGCACAGCTAACGTTTCAAAGTTAACCACAGATACTTACAAGACCCTACTAGGGTAATGCATTGATGAAGTGTCATAGAAACTTTATAAATAATGCATTGGTATCACTGAAACTCATTTCAGTTGCTAAGTATCTGTTTCCATTGAGTCTAATACCAATAAAAACAAGTGGGATCCTGTGCCATATTACCAGTTTATGTACATGTGTGTAGTAAACCACTCTAAATACTGTAGTTGATCTAGGATCTTCCTTGTTAGATAACACATTATAGATGGCTACCTGGATAACAATACAAGCTATGTGTACAGTATATGTGAAATGACCAAAGTACATACAGTTATACAATTTTGTCTGAACTTTACTGGAGCAGGGCCAGTTTGTCATAATCACATACCAGGTTAGACTGAGAAGGTCACAATTCAGTCAACAATAGGACATTTAAAAAACAAAGGTGTGGTTGATCAGTAAGAAATGATATAACCATATTAATGTGTTGATATTATGTCACTATCTGTTCAGGTGTGTAAACGTCAGAGTGCAAGTGTCACTAGAGTTGTCATTTTCATCTATTTTGGACATTTGGGAGAAATTTGGCACAGTAAATTTGTTCTGTTAATTTAAGCAAAACAGTGCATCACAATTCACAACACAGAAATACTGTATTGCTGAGCACTACATTGTATTTAACAAGATAGAATAAAAATGTTGTTACATTTGCCATCATTGAATTAAATGTTACTTTCTAAAACGGTGGCTAAAAAGCATCATATACCAATTACACCAGTAACATGCCAGCTGTACTGTTTTGTCCAGTGTTGGCTTTACAGTGTGTGTGTGTGTGTGTGTGTGTGTGTGTGTGTGTGTGTGTGTGTGTGTGTGTGTGTGTGTGCGCGCCCACGTGGTTGTGCGTGTGTGTGTGCGCACCCACGTGGTTGTGCGTGTGTGTGCGCTCTGATTTTTCATCTGTAGTTTTTAAAAATCACCATGAAAACCCCAAAGGCCTCGGATGTGAAAAAGGGGATATCAGTCCTTTGGGAGACTCTGCAGTGTCCCATATGGTGAGTGTCATTGAGAACAAGAAGATTTGTTAAATAATAACGATCTGCTTGATCTATAGTACAAGAAGAAGAAGATTGTCATTTGGAAGAACTGTCATGCTCTGAACATACTTCATACTTTCTTTCATCTGTAGCTTGGATTTAATGACAGCACCACTGTCTACTAAGTGTGACCATCAGTTTTGCAAGTAAGGAACATCTGATACATCCTCTTTACTCAGATGATTGATAGTATTTTGTTAATTAAACTCTAATTCTATTTCTTTATTTATTTCTTTTTACATGCACTCATGAATAATATATTTGTTGTTTTGTTCCACCAGATTTTGTATAATTAAACTTTTGGACAACTCTAAACAACACAGGGCCAACTGTCCAGTGTGTAAAACCAAGATAACCAAAAGGTTGGACAAAATTTATAAGATGACAGTGTAAAGTTAACTAGAGTCATTGAAATGTCGTTGTTATTAATACCTGCATCTTTATATTAATATATATGTGTATTTTTTAAATGTATACAGGAGCTTGCAGGAGAGCCCTGGGTTTCAGAGACTTGTAGCAGGATTGCAGGATATGATACAAGCATATGAACATGACACCGGCACAAACTGTAAGACTACATTGCAAAGTTCTTAAAATGACCCTATGGAATTGACTTGTATTACATCACCTGATAAAATTACTTTTACATTTTCAGACTTCACGGGAATGAGCCTGCAAGAAAAACAACCAGGGTAAGTAATTAGAAAACATTAAGATTAATGAATGTAATTTAATATAACCATAATTTAATTGTGTATTTTCTTCTATCCAGTGTTACAGATGCTGAAGCTACCAAACATCCACAAAATGTGTCATCTGGAGATACACCTGTCACTGACCTTGACAACGAAGAAAATGCAGACCATGATGATCTTCCGAGATCCCACTCTTCAACTATAGCAGGTAAAATCTTGAGATCTTGTATAACTGTTTGTCTTATTACCTCAAATCAACTACCACTTTAGCTATTAGTTATTTTATACTATTTTGAAATAATTGGGTTTATTTGGATTTTGGTTCTATTAACTAATCTAGAAAAAAAGTCCTCACAAGCCAACCTCTATTAAGGTGTGGATACAACTCTGAAGCACAATCTGAAATAGATGCATGACATAACTAAATAGGAATTGATCTGGTGATGTTATTGTGTTCCTACTTTATGATAAAGTGCAGTCATGAAATATTTAGATAATGGTGCATGTTTTATGTTGACTCCAGAACATAAAACTTGAACTTTATTGTGGTTGATAATTTGATTTCATATATTTATACATATATTCAAGATTCCCAAACAAAGATAAGAACCCCCACTTAAACCAACCAGGCCATGCATTGTGTATATAGGAAATTATAGCCATTGTTTCAGTGGTAGATGAAACAGGAAAAAGTGATGGTAACTCATTATTCATCTTATTTTGAAAGTGTGTTGTCTTCCACGAGGTTAATTATTCATTGATTTACTTATCCCATTTTTTAGCCCAGAATGGATTTGCAAGACTCATGGGACTTGAAGACTCAACTCCTGTGACGACAGAAAATGAAGGCCTGGACAGTGGCCTCGGTGATGTCCTGCCAACTTCTGACAAGAAAATGCACAGCTCTACCGATAATTTGGAACCAGTAGGAACAGAAATATCAGAAGTTGTGGAAAAGGTGATATCAACGCACAAAACTAGAGGCAAAATGAGATTTGACAAATTGGAGAACACCTCCCTTCATCCATTAGTCATTCCAGACGAGACCGAATATCAGCCTTTAAGAAAATCCTCACGGAAGAAGAAGAAAAAGGATTTGGAGCCTGACAAGATTCTTGATGAGAAACAGAAGAAAAGTCTAGAGAAAGTTGCTGAGTGGCTCATGAAAGTTCCAACTGAAGGAAGTCTCGAGTTAGAAAAACCAGACGAAGACGCTGATGACTCAGACAGCTGTTCTTCCACTTCAACAATAGATGTCAAGCAACACATTAGTAACATGAATCCTAAGAGAGATGATCGTGCTAAAGCCCTTGAAGAGCAGGTGTTCGGAGCTGTCTACAAACGAGAGAGAAGAGGGTGCAGGAACACCTCTCTTCCGCTCAATGCTTTTGTCGAGCGATCAACAACTAGAAAACAGAAAACAGGCTCTGAAGATAAAAATGAAAGCGACTTGGAGGAAGAGCAACAACTAACAGAAGAAGTTAATGACACCAGCAGTGACATTTTTAAAGAAGCAGAACAGATGGAAGTCGTGGAGGAAAATGATTTAGACAAACATGGGGAAGAGTTGAACAACTTGCCAGAAAGTGACAAAAATAAAGGCAAAGATGAGGTTCCCTCTGTCTCTGATATTGAACAACAGCAACCGGAAAGAAAGTCAAAGAAAAGGCTGCACGATACTCTGCAGCAGGTTGACAGTGATTTGCAGCAGCAAGCTGAGGCAAAGTCAGAAAGTACTGAGCAAAAGAAAACTGACAAGAGAAAAGGTAAAAACACAAGGTCAGAGAAAGGCAGGCCTGCTAGACTGCCGAAGCCTCTTTTTCTGGTTGCAGTTCAAAATGGAGAAACCAGTCCAAAGACCAGACTGAGATCAGAAGAAGTTCAAGTACAAATTGAGAGCTATCCTAGCAGCGAGGACCAGGAAACCCCTCTCATGAGGAGCACCAGGAGAAGCAGAAGGCTTCAACTCTTTGCTGAGGAAGTCCAGGGAGGTCACGGGAAAGCAAACTTGAAAATCAGTGTAGCTGAAAAACACAGCAATGCTGCAAAGGAATCAGAGGAAGTTAAAGGTGAAACACTGGATAAAACTGCATCACCTGAGAATGGAAACATGACAAAGGTGGCCAAAAGAAATGGATGTATTTATGATCAAGATTTAGGAGGAATTGAAAACGTGGAGTCTGGTGAGAGAACGTCTTATCTGACACCAAACGAAGATGTTAAAGAGCCCATTGCTGAAGTGCCGAATGCTGACACTCTGTCTGAAGCCAGTGCTGCTTGTTATGTCCCTGTGGTACCAAGTTCTACAAGTCCAACTGAGGCAGCTGTAGTGGCTCCAACACTTGAAAGTGACAATCCGAAGAATGACTTCCCAAAAGGTATTCAGCTGGAAACGTCTGCTTGCGAGACTAAATGCGCTATAACAGAAAATGAGGAGGACAAGAACGACAGTGAGCTGGACACAGAGCAACTGCTCAGGAGCTTCAAAGCCACTAAAAGGAAATCGTTCCATCTTGGTGGTCCCAACATGAAAAGAAGCCGTAGCTCAGACCAAGGAGAAACGCAGGGTGCTGAAGCAAAGGATAATGGTCCTGTTTGTTCTAGTTTTGAATCTGCAAAAAAAGAGACATCTGAAATCGCCAACCAGGAGGCTTTGAAAGACAATGAAGACTCATCTTGTAGTGATTTGATCTCCCCGTCTAACTCACCCACCCTGGCAAGAAAAACAGTTGTTGAGAAACAAAATCAAGTGGTGGTACAAGCCTCGATCCCTGATACCAATAGTTCAGGTCAGGACAGCGCTGCTGGAAACTGTCTCTCCAGGAATAGTCTTAGCAGTGCCCTCAGTCCTAATAAAGTGTCAAAACGTGAAATGGAAAGTCCTCATCTTTCAGTTGTCCCTCAATTGGTAGATTCTGGGCTCTGCTTCACAGCTGTTGAACATGAGGAGCTACATGAAGCCTCAAAGTGCTCTCAAATCTCAAACAGTCAGCTTGATTGTACAGTGAGGGATGCTGACAAATGGAAGGAGATAGGAGATGGCATTTCTAGTGGAAAACATTCATTCAACACTGCTGAACACATCTTGGTTGCAGAGTCCTCTTTAACTCCTGACGGCCTTGTAACACCAGTTGTCCAAATGGTCCACGAAACGAAGCCTAACAGCAATGGAAGCGCAGAGCTCAGCGCACATTCCTCCATCAAGAGCTACCCAAGGAATAAGAGACCGGCTCAGAGGCTGGAGTCTTCATCCGAGTCCGACTGCAGTGGATCCAAAGAGGAATTACCAACTTTGGCTCAAATCTTCGGTAGGTCAGCTCCTCCGGCTGCTGTGACCCAGGATCAGGGAGATTCCAATGAAGCTAATAGATGTGAGGATGCATGTGTTCCAGCTGATGCAGAAGAACGCTTCAGCCGTCCACCTGCATGCCCCAGCCCCGACTTTGTTAATTCTAGCCAAGCTTCTGTGGACTTGTTTGGAACACCAGATGAATGTAAGTAGAGAGATATTTTTTCTTCAATTTTAGGTTTGTTCAAAGGAAGCAGCCTGCAATACAATAAATCTTTTCTTTTGTTAACAATCTACCAAATATGTGCATGCTCTTTTCCCACAGTAAGAATCTTTGTATCTTTGGGATGTGAGGAAAAAAACAAATCTCTCAAATGTTCAGACACAGAGCAGTTCAATTATTTCTTTTCTGCAGGTGATGTCCCAGTAAATGACGCCAGTGTTTCCATGGAATCATCACAATTTTCAAGCGAAGTCCTTGTCACACAGGTATGCTCTCAATTACTTTCTCTGGTTGTAAGTGCAGCTGCACAAATGCATCCTCTGATTTGAAAAATAACACCACATTTAAGGTTTTTAGCAAGTGCTGAGAAAAAGTGAGATTTTCCATTAATTCAAACAAAATTCTGACTCTGTCCATTTGCTTGTTCAGCGTTCTGCATTTGCATTGTGCTCCCAGTGATGCACTGTCACGTTACGCCCCATAGAGGGCAGCCACCACATTTTCCTAAAGCAGAAACTGTCAGCTCCTGGATGACAGACTACCTAGCTCTGTAAAAAATGGCCCCCTCAGCAGCTTTCTAAATTGCATTTCATTTACGTTAGAGGAAATGCCGCCTCGGAGATGATTCTTGTTTTCTACCTCATCCATCTTCCAGCGCTCTCACTTTTATCTGTCGACTGTATTTGACTGGGAGTTAAAGTTTCACGCCCTGGGGTTTAGAAAAGGGAGCAGGATTACACACATCTGAGAATACAGAGTGTTGGTTATTATTGTGCTGTGTGTCTGTATACATAATCAGTGCACTTGCGCTGTAAACTCATACAAATTCATAGACTCTATTCTTCCAAACCAGCTCCAGCTGAGCAGAAGCTGTTGTCACCTTTCTCTCTTGTGCTTTCTGATTTCCCTCTAATATCTTAAATATTATGTATGGTATATAATTATCTTCTCGCTCTCTGTGCTGTCTGGCCGAAAAAGCACCCACTCCCTTCCAATAATGAATAACTGGTTGAATGTAGGTCCCTCCTCGCTGATTGACGGTTGTTATTGTATTCATACATCAGTGCAAGACATCAGATGTGCAGCCAGTATGTGTCCCTTTATTTTGTATAGTAAATGTTAATGTTGCATTGCAGCATTTCTTCTCTGCTTACCCCCACCACCCCTGTATTTTATTAAAGTGCATGACTCATTTGTAATTATGAGCTGTTCTACTTTACTTTGTTTTCTCCTCTGTAAGCAAAAGATAGAAATGCAGAAGGAGCTGGTGAGGCTGGAGAAATTGATGGCTCTGGTGTCAGAGGTGCTTCAGGAGAAAGAACGCAGTCCTGCAAAAGAAGTCCCCACAGAAACAAATCAAAGCATCAAAACCACGGGTAAACAGATAACAAGTGTAGGATTTTCTTAGAAATGATTAGTCGACAGATTAGCTGATGATTATTTTATTATATTACTTAAGCAAAACAGCAAATATTCACTGTTTCCAGCCTCTAAAATGTGAATAATTAAAAGCAATTATTGTACAAAACAATTTATCGACGAATTGAGAAAATGATATGCAGATGAGTTGATAATGGAAATAATCACTAGTTGCAGACCATTTTTTAATGCTGCAAGACTGAAATATAATGTGACATTAGTGGAATTTAACATGACTGTTTACCCATTGTTTGAATTTAACATAAAGCAAAGATATTCGATTTTTACTTACATTTTACCTTTTTTTTTTACGATTGTTTATGATTTTAGTTAAACTCATTGATTAGTTTTGTGCAAGAATTCAAAGGTGACCTAAACGTGATGGTTACTTTGTGTCCCCCGGCCCAGACACCCACAGACCCCTCGTGTTTCACCAGGATGCAGGCCAGGATGCAGACATGTAAGTAAAGCATGGCATAGTGGACTTTTAGTACTACTAATATAATGAAAGAAAGAATTGTTACATTTTGAGTTGCTCATAAACAAGAAATAGTTAGAAGTTAATTAATTAATTAAAAGAACCATCATCAACACAATATTTTTCAGCAAGTGAAAGTACAATAGTAAGTGTGTGTGCTTTAGTTTAGCTTTGTTGCTTAATCTCTGTTGCAGAAAAACTAAAGTGCCTAACTTAAAACAGGAGGCGTCATGTACAACCACAATCAAACTACAAATAAATGCTTCTTTAGCTCCTGTCTAACATGAAGACATGAAAGCTTGCCTCTCAACATGAAGTCTTTGTTTGCGGTATGCAGGAAATGATTAGAGCAGCTGATAATATCAAAGCTGAAGGATTCTCAGGAACTGGACAGTTAGAAACCGGTTCTATGTGATAACTGTTTTCATTCCTACAGACAGGACGTTCCTGAGGTTGTAGTCATCTCTTTGATGATATGATGATATCATACTTGAAAATGATAGTAAGATTTGTCGAATTGCAACTATCTTTCTGGTCTTATCGTAGGCATCAATTTTGCTTTTGTGAATATTGTCAGTGGCTACAAAGTACATGTAACTTTAAAGAAATAGTTCAGTAGAATTTAGGGAAAATACTAGAGTTTGATGAGGAAATTGTTACCACTCTCATGTCTTTCCGGAGACGGCTAGCGGAAACCTCAAGAAGACACTGCTCCCAGCCACGAAATAGTCACATAACCCTCAGTAAAACGGCAGATTGTTGCTTTTGCTCTAAGGTTTTTGTCTGGATTAAACAAATGTGTTAATTGGGAAGCGGTTCTGATAGATGCATTTTGTTACCGCTGCTCAGAGCCAGGCCAGCTGTTTTCCTGTTTTTCCAGTCCTTGTGCTAAGCTAACTGGCTGCTGACTGTTGTTTCATACTTATTGGTCAGATATTGGAGTGGTATTTATCTTCTCAGTTAACTCTCTGCCATCGAATTATCGTCCTTTAAGTAACAGAGACAGTTTCCAAACTAAATTAAAAAGCAGGTGAGTGGACCAGTGACCCTGCAAGACACAGAAAACTTCTCAGTCAAGCTTTTTTTTTTTTTTTTCCTCACTAGGTCAGTGAACCAATCAGCTTGCCCGATGTTGGCCTCAAGTCGTGTGACAATCCTTAAAGTCAAACTCGATGTCAATAACAAATCTAATTAAATAATATCTGCCTCAGTGCGTCACATTTCTCTTCTCAGAAGGTTGTATACATTGTTAATACTTTTTAAATGGCGCTATATTTC